TGTTCAATTTTTGGGTAAAATTTTTTTAGTCGATATCCTTATATAGAAAATGATCTACATTTACCCTACCTTTAATTTGATCGCTTTTTTTCTTTTTTTAAATCAATACAAGAATACATAATCAATTAGTAACGCTATAGCAAGAGTATAATAAATTTAATGGCTAATTGCATTAAAAATTGATCTAAGACCATTCTCAAGTGCCAACCTCAATGAGTTTACCAAACAGTTTGATTGGTCGAAAAAATTGATCATAATAATCATTTAGGTCAAAAAACCCTGGAGTTGCGACCACCAATTTTTTTTTATAGAGTTGTGCTGATTGGTTAAGGCCGTTTTCAAGCACCTACCTTAATGTATTAACCGAACGATGTGATTAGCTGAAAAAATTAATCGTGGTCATCATTTTGGTCAAAAAAACCTGGAGATGTGACTACCAATTTTTTTTCATAGAGCTGCGCTGATTGAATAAAATTTATTATTGACAGAGTAATAAAAAAGATTGCTTAAGCTCAAATACTGTATATTATCATTTTATTATTACTTCTTTTTTTTTATAACATGGATCTCAACAAGATGTCATCGCTACCAAAAATTATTCTACTCTTATAACAAATAAAAGACGTTTAATATTCAAAGAATAAAAATTATTTTTTTATATGTCATATATATTTTATTAAAATAACATTCATGCTTTATGATGTTTCGATATCACTTCGTTTAATAATAATGAATCTATATAAAGTTGTATTGTCGAATATGATTATTGCCATAATAACTTGCTGCCAAATATAGCAGCTGTTGCAATGATAAGTTATTTGTAAAATTGTTAAGAAGGCAAATTTCAAACACCAAAATCTTGGATACTAAATTTTTAGGTAACTGAGTAATTGCCTTTTTGGAGCCATAATGGAAATTAAAGAAAGAGATAGCTCAAGCACAAATCGTAATCTTTATTCCAATTGATCATAGCATTTGAGCGTTACCTCAATCACTAGCTAATTACATTGAGGGAGATGCTTGAGAACTGCCTAAAATTTAATTTATCATTGATAGAGTAATTGCTCAAGCTCAAATACTCTTTACAAATAAAAAACATTCAGAGTTAATATTCAATGAATATAAAATGAATTGTATATATATTTTATTAAAATAACATCCATACTTCATTATATTTTCTATGTCACTTTGTTTAACGTTAAAGAATCCATATAAAGTTGCATTGGCGAATATAGTTGTTGCCGTAATGACTATATAGTCAACTATAGCTGTTGTTGCAATGATAAGTTATTTGTGAAATTGTTAAGAGAGCGAATGCTGGAGGCAAAAGTTTCAAATGTCAAAGTCTTGGGTCTAAATTTTTAGATAACTGGATAATCGCCTTTTTTTCTTGGAGTAATAATGGAAATCGATTGAAAGAGATAGCTCAAGTATTGATCGCAGTCTTTATTTGAATTGATCGTAGCGTTTAAGTATTACTTCGATCACTAGTCTATTACATTAAGGGAAGCGCTTGAGAACAGCCTAATTTAATCTTTGATCAGTGAAAATTAAAGAGTAATGTGATTTGATTAATAATCTGCAGAAATCGTGATTGAGAACAATATTACTAAAATGTAAAACTGATACCAAATAAAAGATTGTATTTGACTGATAGCAAATTTATAAGTTAAAAATATAATTGATAAATTAAAGTATCAAATATATATAATAAATTTGAAATTATATTGCATCGCTGTTTTAAAAAAAATTTCTTTGCTGATGATAAAATCAATCAGAAGCAATATAATTGATTATCACGCTTTTCAAAATGCAAATAATGTGAATATTTGAATATTCGATTATCTTGGCATATTGATTAAAGATCGATGCCTGATTTTACGCACATACAATATAATTGTTTAGTCAACAATTACATTGTATATACATAAAATTGGGCATTGATCTTTAATCAATGTGCCAAGGTAATCACGTATTCAAGTATTCGCATTATTCGCACTATTTACAGTATTCACAAACAAAATTTTTTCAAAAACCATGATAAGTAATTTTTGCATAATGAAAATTTTTGCATGCCGAATAATTTTGCATGAATTTTTTTGTAATGTTTTATGATGACAAAATTTTTGGAATTTATTATATAAAAGAACTTTTTATCTTTTATTTATAATTTTTCAAAAATATTATTTTCTAAACAAAAATGAATTCTAAAAAATGAAAAACTCCTTCTCAAGACGAACCATTTTCCCGACCATCACTCGTTCTGTCTAACAACCTCAATCAACCTACCCCGTTTAACAATTTCAATCTTCACCCCAGCCTGTTCAACAACCTCAATCATCAACCTAGCCCATTTAACAACCTTAATCTTCACCCCAGCCTGTTCAACTGCTGCCTGTTTAGCAATTTCAATCTTTACTTCAGCCTGTTCAACTGCCTATTCAACAATTTCAATCTTCACCCTAGCTCATTCAATGGCAATCCTACTCTGTCCAACCCATTCAATCAACTTCTCAACCTGTTCAATCTTTCTAATCCTCTGTTCGACAACTCCGGTCCCGGTCTTAGTCTCAACCCATTCAACCTCAACTACAATCTCAACCACTATCTTAACTACAAACTCAACCAGTTTCGCAACCAGTATCATATGAAATTCAAAGTTCACCTGTTATTCCTGGTATCATTTTTTTTAAAAAAATTAAAAATAAACAATTCAAGCTTTTAGTAACTACATGTTGATGATCTCATAACTATATTGTTACGATCTTATAACGATCTCATAACTATATAGTTACGAGATTGTTACAATATCATAACTATATAGTTACGAGATCGTCAACATGTAGTTACTAAAAGCTTGATTTTTGCTTTTTTATTAATTAATATTATTCTAATAAATAAACTTATTTTATAATTCTTTTTTTTATTTTCTATAGATCTTAATACAGTATTGAATTACTTGGAGCATCATATTAATAATAATCATTTCACAACACTTACAGCTCTGCGAAATAGATTTGGGCTACTCACCAACGATCTTCTTAATAATAGTGTAGATGCTATGATGAACGTTCTCTTTCCGAATACATCAAAATGATCTCAATCGGCAACTCCAATTTTATCACGATCACTAATTCTAATCTTGCTAAAAGATTTTACTTTAAGAATCTTGATGATTGGACATATTCGCCGCCACCTTCTGTTGAACCTTGAAATGTTTATGAAGTAGAGCTGCTTAAGAATAGTTTAAACCTCTTCTCAGTCTATTTCAATAATGGGTACTTCCCATTCATACCAAGACGAGCTTATAACGTTTCTTCATCTTTTACAAAGCATGGAAGAACTCTAACATCTGTGCAAGTCAATGATTACTATACAACCTATAAGGTAATAGTCATATCATTATAATTTGTTTTTATATGTTAGGATTAATGATACGGGTTGATGAAAAAATCATAGGCCAGGGTTGATTCTAAAAAAGCTCGGGCCGGTCAACTGGGCTGACCTTTTTGCTAATGTAATTTTTTTCTGATCAAAATCAGGCAACATATCTATATTAAATGTACAAAAGGCCATCAGGTAGTTTCTTGTCGAATTTTTGTTATATTAAACGATTTAATTTTTATTCTTTTTGTTCTTAAGAAAATTTCAGCACATTAATATTTTATATTGATTGATTGTTTATGCCGCTAAACATTTCTGATCCTTATATTAAATTTGCTATTTGCCAATTTTATCACTTAAATAAGCCAACCTCTTTTATATTATTATAAATGACTAGCCGATTTTATTTAATTTCTAGCCTGAAAATATGCTTAGAAGAGAAATTTCTTTTATCAACCGACCCAGCCCACAAAGTTGCAAGCAGGAACATGGATCAATTCCGGTTTGATTTATAAAAAATTCATTTCGATATAATAAAAAAATCTTTTTTATATATATATATAAATTTTTCCATGTCCCTGAGTGCAGGCTGAGGGTTGACCAGCCTCTGTTAGGCCAGGGTCGACCTGTATCACTAGTTAGGATACATGACAACTATTTAATAATGAGTTATTACTAAACATAGTAATAATATTTTATTTTATTAAGAAGTTTCCAAAATTCATTGGTAACCTTTTTAGGAACAAGATGCATATATTGTTTATCTATTGTAGGAACCTTGATGATAGCAAATCTAATCAAATAATTAAAAAATTTCTAAAAATTTTGGTTTCGGAAATAGAAGAACACAATTTTAATAATGTGGTATCAAAATTTTGTTTCACTTTCATTGAGTGGCGTCACATTCTGTGGAATAAAATTATCAAATTGTATATCGAGTTACAAAGTAGGGCAAAAAGGTAAAATAATTATTAATTATTTTTAATATTGTTTATTTAATTTTTTAATATGTACTAATATTATATTATTGTTTTAGTGATAATATCACTACCCTTTTTGCAAAAATAAATGTGGATGATGTTGAAAAAGTGTGGCACCAATTCCTTAGTAATATTGATATTGCTGCAATTCATTATGAGTCAAATGGCTTAAATGATTTTGAAAAATCACTTTTAGATGTGATGCGTAGTAGTATATAGGTGTTAACTTACTATGAACAAAAAAATACTCAATCTGTAGTTTTTAATTTAAATAATGATTTTTATACAGTTAATTTAAACATTTTAACAATTAGTGGTTGGAATGTTAGAATGTCTATCGATTTAAGTCGATATGCTTATAAAAGTCCAAAGGGTATCAATATCATTTAAATAGTTTTTTTTTCATGTTTTCATGTTTTTTTTTTCTTTTTTTTTTGTAATTTTGCAAAAAATAATTAAAATCAATAAATTCATTTATATTTTTTGTTCAAGTTATATGAATATTTGATACTCAATATATTTGCCATGTGGTGTTCGAAACTTTTTTGGGTGGCGATTTTACCTTAGTGTTACTATTGGATCAGGAGAGCTTTAGTAAGTAAGTGCCAGGTTTAGTTCAGCGATAGTGAACGAAAGAGATAACGGGTAATGTATATGACTTATATGCAAGATAAATATAAAGTATGTAGTAAAAAATATCAATGTCTGTACAAGTGTATATATTCTACATTGATTACAAAATTTGTCAGTTATCAGTTAACACACGTGATTTTTCAATCTTCAACGATTGAAAAATAGCTTACGTTGGCTCTTAATGCAATTATTAATTTATTAATAGATTTTATAATAATTAATATATACAAACCGATAGCATTTTTAATTATTAGACTCATTACAGTGATTAAAGAATTGTCACAGATTAAAATGAAATCTGATCAAAACGAAATTTTTCTGTTTTTTAAGGAAAATTTAAAATTTTTTGGG